AGGGCGAGCTGGCTAGCACGGCAGTGGGCTGTGCGGGAAGACTGGCTAGACTGGTGGGACCTGGAGACGGGAAGGCAGGGGAGGGATGCTGGGGGGTGCTGGGATGGGAGGGATGCTGGCTCTGACTACCCAGGAGGTTGGGAAGCGAGAAATGAAGGCACTGGTGTGCATGGCGGTGAGGAGCTGACAGGGGTGGGGGGGAGATAGGGGCTGCCTGGACAAAAGCGTTGGTGCTGGATTAGAGGGGCAGAGGGACAGAGAACAAGGTAGACGAATTACTGCAACTGATTTTTTGGCGCATCCCATGTCTTCATTGTGTGAGCACCTGACTTGCTACACTTGGCTTGACGTGCAGAGGCACTAGGTTCTTGCAGATGTTGCTTTGAACATACCTAGTTCAGTTTTAAGGCTAAGTGCTTTGAAAAATCAGGTTGTAGACACCTCAGACTGGGTGCCTAGAATGAAGAGGGTTGTTTCACTTTAGTCTGTCTGCATAAATACTTCTGTCTGGCACATGTCTGATATGAAATGGGAATAATGTCACCCAGGCATAAGTGAAGATAAGATAGTTTAAATTGTGTCTTATCTGGATAATATGCTTTGTAATTCAGATGCCTGTTAGTAACTCTGTCTTCAGGACAGTGTTTGGATAGCTGCTCTAGATAAAGCCTAGGAAGACTAGCATCACCTAGCCTGCATATCAAACGAGGCAGGAGTCCTGCAGACTTCAGTAGCCTGAAGTCATGTAATCACAGACTGCGGCAACTCATGCATCCGTGGAGGATGCCTTGATTTTGGCAATTCGTGATGTTTGTATGCTTCATTTTGCAATACGAATCATGTTCCTTTGATGTTTTCTTTTCTGTAAAGTTGTACAGAATCACTTACAAAAGTGTTATAAATAGTTCTGCAGAGCTGGGCAGGGCAAATCATGCACAAGAAGGAGTTTCATATTCGAACAGGGGTCATATTCGAACAGTTAAGGGTTGCCACCTTCCACTTTATTTCAAGTAGCAGAGGGCGGAAGAGATGTTAACAGAGGGCAGCCAGGGCCAAATTCTGCCACTTCTGGTCTCCCACCCAATACGTGGGTGCTGTGCCAGGATGCTCTCTGGAACCAGGGCTAACCAAAGGAGCATGCCGATGGGCTGCTCCAAATGCCGTGCAGAGAGGATTCAGCAGCACACAAGCCATTTCAGAGCATGGAGGTAAGAGCTGCTTCTGCCACCTCTGCAAGCATTGGCATTCATCATCGCTGGCCCTGGTCATAATACAGGTGGGGTGGTACCCCCAAAATAATAAGGCTTGGGAACCCTGCCACTGAAAAAACCTGCAGATAAAGGCAGACCATCAAAAGAAACCAGGGTATTTCCCTCACCAAGAATCAGCTCCAGAAGCAGCTCAGAAGAAACTAGCACTAGATTTCTTCAGGGTGTCTTTCAGGAGTGCTTTGGGCTTTTCTCAGGGCCAGCAATGAGATCCCTGCTCTTGGACAGAGCCCCCCGAGACAAGGTGCTCTGGTGACATTTCTGTCTGGTGGTCCCATTGTGTCCCACTCGCTGAGGCTGCGGGTCCCCATTGTGTCTGTGTACACAGGGGCTGATGCTGATTTCCGTCATTCAGGCTGTGCTTGTTTCTTTGCATCTGTGAGTGCTGTTGAGAAGTTTCCAGAGAAAAGCTTGGCCCCTGTTTCCAGTGTAATGTGGAGTTGTACCGACTGACGGGGACAAGTCGGAAACGCTGGCAAGATAGCAGGCATCCTCAGGAAGCAAACCCTATCAGAAAGCACTGATGTCATTGGCAAACAAAACAAATGAGCACTGGAAAAACAAACTGTTTTCCAGCGTTGTTGATCTTCCCTCAAATTAGAAGCTCTGCACAGCCTTTACTCTTTGGCCCAGTCTAACAGATTATTTACAAGACAGCGCTGCAGCAACGGTTTTGTTACTCCTGCCAATCCAATTCCTTTGACTTTATTTTTTAGATTTATTTATCTAAGGGAGGATGGGAAGAGCATCCGAGCACTGCAGCCAGGTTTGGAAAGCTGGCCAGAGTCCTTGCGGATGTTGGGTGCTGACATGGTTGATGTCCTGCAGGCTTTACTCGGGCAGCGCCTCCAGCTCCCCTGCCCCAGGTCCAATGCAAGGGGATGGTACCTCCCTGCAACTTCTGCACAGCCCTTTGAGGCATGTGTCCCGACAGCGTCCTGCTAGCGGTCACCTGCCACCACCACTGGCTCCTGGGAGCTTGTACCATGGGCACGGAACATTTCTCCATGTGGTGGGTTTGGGGAGAGCTTGTCGGGGGTTTGGTGCCAAGGGTGCTGTGGCAGACGGAGTGGTGCAGGCTTCTCTGCCTTGTTTGTTCCCATAGCGGAGCTGTGGTGGGCACAGGGATAGCATCCCGCTCCCAGTCAGGCCTTCCCGCCGCCCGTAGCACCGCAGGGTTTTCCCTTCCACACGTGGTAAGTTTGCAGAGCAGGAGGAGACGGGTTGCACCAGTTCCTCATGGTGCATTTGCACCCCGTTGCTCCTCACCATGGGTGCCAAAAGGAGGATCAGAGTAAACCCCATGGGCTGGAGGTTTCTTGCCCGCTTGCTTTTACCTCTCTGATGGCCCTGTCAGTGCAGCAGGCGGCAGAGAGAGGGTTAAGCTGCGGTCCAAGCCAGCCTGACAATAATAGCAGGAAAAGCACATTTCTTCCTTGCACCTGTGAGTGCTCCGATGGGCTTTCTGCTGTTTATGGTAGTCACATCAGATCTTTCTCTTATTAGAAGGTGAACAGCTCTAGCAGCCAGCTGTTCCCCTTGCTCTGCTCGTACCTGGCTCCTTGCACAGTCCAGGGCAGCGGGTGGATGGAAAATCAGCCTTTTAGGTCAGCATTCAAAAATAACCCAGAAAGCCTTCCCTTCCTTCCAAGAGGGAAGGGTCCCGCTCCTCCCTGCTTTCTGCCTGCTTGTACATACTGCTGGCTCACTTACTCAGAGCACTTACCGGGAATTTGGAGTCCTGTTCTAGCAAGGGATACTCCTAAAATCTCTTCAGCACAGAGCTTAATTTCTCTGTTATTAAAGTCTGTGCAGTGTTACATGTGTGAGAAGGGAAGAGATTCATTAAGCTCTTGAGACAAACCGGTTTAAGCGCTCAGCAGGCTTTCAGGCTGGAAAGACACTTCTGCAGCGTTCCAAGTTACCAGTTAAATGGTGGCTCTGCATAAAAATTGTGCATTTTTTTCCACACTGTGGGCTGTCCTCGGGCGAGTGCCATGGCCGCTGCAGGCAGTGCAGGGCAGAGGCGGCTGGAGGGTCCCTGTGTGCCCGGGAGCCGCACACCAGGCTGGCCCGGAGCAGCCGGCCAGACCGGCTCCGCAGTCTGCAGAGCATCCAGGAGACAGGGCGGGAGCAGAAAATGGATGGGGCGCTGGATAGGCAAAAAGTGGCCATAACATATGGAGTGCTGCACCACAGAAACTGGTTTATATTCTAAGGCAACCCATCAACTCCTGCATATACGTAGCCTAAGAGATTTAGTACTAATAAATATGCAGCAGCCACCTCAGTAGTTGCTCCATCTGAAGTAAATTATTGTAAACAGCAGTGAACAAAATTCTCCCTTTCTTCTTGCCCAAGGAGAGCACTAGAGCCCGCTGTAGAAAATGCACTTGCTTTTCATGATCTTTGCAAAGACATTCTCCTTTTGAGCAGCTGCCAATGCTGGGGTCCTGTCCCTCAGGTAGACCTGCCACTAAGGATACGCACTACTCACCAAGCATGTTAAGTGAACACTTCATGCAGGGAAAATCATCTTGAGTGTTTTATGTTTTACATAATAAATCTATTTCTGTGTGTTTCACTTTCTTATGCACCCTTTTTTCTTTCTTTCTTTCTCTCTTTCTTTCTTTCTTTCGGTAACTCAGTTCAAGCAAGGAGGAATGTACCAGAACGGGTCTGTTGTTGTGCACAACCTACAGAATAGATCATTACCTTCCGCTCGTTTTAAAACTCTAGAAGAATGGGTATTCCGTAATTGCCATAACAAGCTGCAAGAGTGGTATAGACAATAGAGATTGTTTCCAGCCAACTAATTCAGTTTGCTGAATCTTTGCTGTAGAGAGTGCAGAATTGAGGGCTGTCACTGGGAAGAAAAATCTTGACTGTCTCGTGTCTTGGAAATCATTGAGACGCAATAGACACAGGCATCTCAGGTTGTTTCCAGTCATTTTACGCAGTGGAAGTGTGCTGTAAAAATAGACCATACTTGAAATCTTAGCGTTTGTATAATTCTAGTTGAGAATTACTGATTTCCAGCTGGCCAATGCAGGCCAAAAAGAAAGCAGTCTGTAAAAAGGACTGTTAAACTGGGGTATTGCGTGATATTACCTGGGTTTCTCATATGGTTGCATAATTAATTTTTGTTCTCCTATTTCGGCCTTTTGAACATTTTTTTCTTAATTGGAATATGTAGATCTGTAGGGAGAGGCATATTGCCCTGTAATCCGCCCCCTTCTCCTGCAGCAACTTAAAATGCAATACAGAGCACACCTCTCCATGACTGGGGAAAAATTGTTTTTTAAGGAAATGCCCGACTCAAATTGTGGGTTTACCTCTGGTGCAAGGATTTTTTTTTTTTTTTTTTTTTTTTGAGATCACTTAGTGAAATGTGAAAGCTGCAAACACCAGTGAATTCTTCAGTGAAACGGTCTGAGTCAGCAGCAGCATGGCATCTGCTGCTTGGCTGAGTGCATGGAGGTGTATTGTCTGGGGAAGGTCAGCACATGATTCATCAGCATCTGCATGCACTTTGCTTCATCTATTTTATTGTAAGCATGGAAGACTGAGGCCAGGGGATGAGACCCTTAGTTTCAGCAGCCTACCAGCTGATCATAGATATTTTTCCTTGTTTAAAGCGACCTTCTGTTTGTTTTTGGTTTTATTTTCCAGTGATGGGTCCTGCTGGAAAGACCTTTTTGATGGCACAGCTGTGAGTGAAACCAGCACAATATGTTCAGTGTCGAGGACCTCCTGATTTCTCATGGATACAAATTGTCAAAAAATCCCCCTGTTTCATATGAGAGCAGGTATGATGGATACCAGCATGAAATTGCGGGAAATAGATCTTCTCAGAGAACGCTGAATGGGTTTGAGGCAGAATCGAGAGCTGGGGCTTACAGCAAGAAACCTCTGGTGAAAACCAACTCGAGCAGCACCGAAAGCAGCCATGGGAGCCAAGGGAGGCAAGTGGGTCCTGGTTACCACCATGACCTTCAGGGTTTGTCCACTTTTCATACTTCAGAAGGGGGGTAAGTTTCAGCATCATGCCATGGCTTTGCTTTCTCTTCCTTTTGGTCCTGACAGATAACTAAGCATGACCCTAACCCTTGACACCACCTTCCTGTGATCCTTTCCTGCTCCCATACTAGTGACCATTTCCATGTACTGGAAATCCATGTGAAGCAGTGGCACATCCATTCACCTTCTGCTAGAGCAAGATCTTTGAGAATATCGAGGTGAGGGGAAGTGCCCGAGTTGGGGAAAATTTCATTTACTAACATGGTCTGCATCAGAAAGGCCTTTCTGATGGCCTTAGAAAAGCATAGTCCAAGGACAGTAAAAAAGGGGGGCATAAGCTCTTCCTTTTCTTCATTAAAATAACCCAACAGCTTCTTCTGCCACATACAGGCCCTGGGTTTTGCTGCAGATTCAGCCATGTGCAGCTCTCGGTGGGACTTCCTACATGCACCGAGGACTTTCGTGGTTTTTTTAAGGCCGCTCTTGTGGAGTAAACATGAGAAGGTGCCTGTGCGTTTCTTTTTAAAACAGCTCAAAACCAGTGGAAGGTCTTGTCGTCACTCCATAAAACATGCTCCTGCAACCGTGGCTTGCTTAACGCGGAGTACGTGCGTGCTGGGGCTGGGGCAGGCTGGGCAGGAAGAGCTGTGTGTACACACCGCGGCTCGGCCATTGTTCTGCAGCTATTTGAGTGCTGCAGATGAACAAAGGAAAGGGGCTAGAGCAGCACTGGAAGCCAGCCCAAGTGTGACGATGGTTTATGAGGAAAAGCCCCTTCCTCCTGCTGAC